GGTATTTGCAAAAACCAACCAATATCTTTTGGAAATTAAGTGTGTGTCTGTGTACATATGTGTGTGGGTGTGTATATATATATATATATATATATATATATATATATACACATATTTTATTTTTAATAGATCTCTCTTCGTGACGCGATTCGCAACGAACGCGTCGTATTCCAATTGATCAATCGATCGTTCCTCGAACCATCCAACGAAAAAAAAAAAAAGGAAAAAAAAAAGGAAGCTTAAATGTGTATTCATTCGTAATGTCTCCAAAGTAACGAATGTATTTATGTATTTGTAAATCTCATTATTAATCAGCAAGAATTCGTAGCTTTTTTTTTCTGAGCAACATCGAAGATCAGATCTCGTACCACCTTTTCTTCTCCCCCGCCACACACCTCCCCCCCCCCAACTCCCCCCACACACACACTTGACATTTATTTATTTATTATTGTTATTATATATATATATATATATATATATATATATATATATATATAAAATATATATATATATATTTTTTAAAGAACAACGTGATGGAAATTACACGATAATTTCGAAGAACATACCCAAGTTTCGTCCACTATTAATATTTTTTTATTATTATTATTATTATTATTATTATTATTATTATTATTATTATTATTATTAATTATTATTAGTTATTATTATTATTATTATTAATATTATTATTATTATTATTATTATTATTATTATTAATATTAATATTAATATTATTGTGTTATTGTTATGTAAAGAAACGAAAAACAAAAGCAAAAACCGAGTTCCAGCGATGGGAACAAAGTTTTCTAAGTGCCTTAACGGGATGACTTAAGACGGCTGCGATTTTCGTTCCTGATATTTCAAAAATAAAAAGGAAAGAATTGGGATCGTTTTGCTCCGTTTGAAAAGAAAATTTTTCATACATCGTCTTTTACAAATTTACACGCACGTATATAATACACATGAACACACACACACACACAACACACACATACATATATACATACATACATACAAACACTTTTCTAGTCATTGCACGCCGAGCGATCTTGCATTCGTCGATGAAACAACAAAATTTATTACACTTGGGTTAGAAATGTTTCAAATAAAGATTTCTTCGGTTCTTTTTTTCTTTCTTTTCTCTTTTTTTTTTTTGTCTTTTCGTTTCTTTCTTTTTTTTTTTTTTCTTTTTTTGTTTTTTCTCTCGCGAACCAGACGATTCGATACAATTATCATCCCGACGATTTGTGACGCATTGTCATTGCGTCCTTCTTATTTCTTTACTTTTCTTTTTTCTTTTTTTTGCTATTATTTTTTTTCTCCGTTTCTTTTCTTTTTTGTTCTTTTCTCTTTTTGGTTCTTCATTAAAAAAAAACAAAAAAAAACAAAAAAAAAAAAAAACAAAAAAAAAACAAAAAAAAAATGCCAATCCTTTTCGGATTTGGCATACAGCGTTCCTTCGGTTTTCAAATCGCGCGCAATAAAACTTTACACGCTTTATTACACCAATACGATCCTTGCAAAATGTCCGAGTGCACAAGGAATAAAGGGAAATAATAAAAAGAAAATGAAAAGCGAGATTACTTGTACATATTGTGTGTATGTGTATATATATATATATATATATATATATATATATATATATATATATATATATGCACATATACGTATACAAAAGTATGTACGCGTGCACGCGCGAACATTCTTATATGGTATAAATAAATAAATAAATAAATAAATAAATACATATATATATATATATATATATATATATATATATATATTTAGCATGCAGTGTTGGGCAATATTTAATTGATTGAATGATTGATGATTATAATGGAAATATTTCATTTATTAATCATGATTAATGATTACTTATTACTAATGAAATCGTCAATTTAATATTGCACAATATTGATAGCATGTATCTGTATATATTATATAATTATATGTCAATAAAACGAAGACGACGATTATAATGATAAAAATGATGATGATGATGATGATGATGATGATGATGATGATGATGATGATGATGATGATGATGATGATGATGATCATGATGATAATGTTGATGATAATGATAATGATATGCTGATGATGCTGATGATGACGATGCTGATGATGATTATGATAATGATGTTGTTGATGATGGTGAGATGATGATCGTGATGATGATAATGATAATGATGATGATGATGATGATGATAATGATGATGATAATGATGAATGATAATAATAATAGTTAACGAATAATAAAAACGAATATCGAATATAAGAGCGCTGTAGCATAACGAAATAACGATATTATTAGAATACCTCCCGAGAAACTCACAATATTATTTTCAATATAATATTATTGTATTCAATTCCAAACACGAGAAAAAAACGCGCGTCAAAGCAAGCTAAGACGATAGTTTTGTTGTATCGAAGATCATGGAAATCCTCTCATATTTCATTTTTACGAGAAGAAGAAGAAGAAGAAGAAGAAGAAGAAGAAGAAGAAGAAGAAGAGGAAGAAGAAGAAAAAAGAAAAAAAAAAAGAAAGAAACACGTAATAATAATAAATGAAATTACAAATTTGTACTTCTCCTTCGTAGATACGTTATTAACCAACCGATCACGTTTAACATATACCAATAATACAGGTGTCAAGTGTTGTTTTGCCACAAAACGACGAGTCGGTGTGGATAGAAAATTCTGAACGCTCAAAGTAAGTTTTCTTGTTTTATTATCATATATTCGGTATTTTCATGTTTAAAAAAAAAAAAAAAACCCGTATTGATTTAAATATCTATTGAATTTGAAACTAAAAAAAAGAGTCACGCTTAGAGTGAGGAGGCGTGGAAGGGTGAGGCGGGGAAAGAAGAAAGAATTCATCTCGTATTTTATAACATTATTCTTTTCTTAGATCGTCGCGAATATTTTACGTTAGATAGCAAAGTTCTATAAATTCGATTTATCTATCGAGTATCGTTGCTCTTTAAAAATTTTCTGAAAGAATAATGTTACGTAACAAGAGATGGCAGCACTTTAAAAAGTCAAGATATTCGTGTGAAAAGTGAAGAATGAAAATACGTCGGTAAGAAAAACGGTCGGTAACGATCAGTCGATAATGTAACGATCTCTAATAATCGTCGATAAAATAAACGATTACAATTAACATTCTTAACATAGATATTCCGTTTTCTTTTAGGAGAAATTAAAAATTATCGTTCTAATTACATTATTCATATACTTTCCATGCTATATAAAGTCTAGTTTCAATAAATAAAATTATATTAAGGGATCACGCGAACCACAATATTATTTCTCATCAAAACATACTAATAGATTTAAACGATGAGATTAGCATTCCCGAGTAAGAAATTGGGATTGATAAAAGAACAAATAAAAAATAAAAAAAAAAAAAAAAAAATAAAAAAAAAAAGAAACAAAAAAGTAGACGAATACTTTTGAACTCGTCGTTTATCAGAAATTTTCCTCAGCTATTTCTTTTTGGTAACAACAATCCTAGGATACCTCCGGCTGAAAAACAAGAATGAAAAAGAAATTGATTGAATCGTCTCGTATAATTATATTCATGCATATCAAAGTGATCCTTATTTGGATCGTCGATAATCGATATTGCTTACCAATAACGATGCTGCCCACTAAGAAAATTGGCACCTCGCAACTGATATCGAGAAGCATACCAAAGGCCAAATTACTTGCGATGGCACCGATCCTACCAAAGCATGTCATCATGCAGATAGCTATCGCTCCTACGTGCGTTGGAAAGATATCGACCACAACACTTCCTATTACAAAATTTGCCGTGGCTATTGTCAGTGAAAACAGACAGGTCACTACGAGAATTTGTAAGGAAGATTTGACGAAGTAAGTTGCGAACCCAAAGACACCAGCTATCAACATAGTAGTTACTGAGAAAGAAAGGAAAAAAGAAAAAAAAAAAATAGTAGAAAATAATTATTAATCAATAATTACTGTGATAAACGACAACGTCGTCGTTATTTTCTTTTATATAAATTTTTATAATATCTCAATCAATTTCTAATAATTAAATTTGATTCACCTGGTATTGTTCGACGACCAACCCGATCTGCGAAATAACCAGATGCCATATTTCCCAATAAACAAACGGCATTAATCGTTAATGCATTAGTAAAAACCTTTTTATCCATTGTACTAACACATTTCTCCGTCGCGTTCATCAATGGATGAAGAATTACAGATTCATTTAATGTTGTTGATTTAATGTTCGAATGATTTAATATATCTGTTTTTCTTATCAATTCGCAAACGGTTATCGTTACGTTTGGATGTAATTTTTGATATATCTCAAAACGATTGAAGAGCTCAGGAAGCCAGAGACCCAATCCGTAATACCTGAAAGAATTATTTTGAAATTTTCGAAAATTTCTATTAGATGGTATTACGAAATCCTATTATCAATAAACTAACCCAAACATATTAGTGAAATATATCGTCCAACAGAGTATGGCATATTTTAAAAGTGGAAACGAGGAGATTGATCGAATTTGAGACCAAATGTTTTTCAATAAGATTGTAAACAATCCAAATACTGATAAAGTAGATCCTTCTTTTCTTGTGATCATTGTACTTTCAGACAAAAGAGTTTTCACCTGTATAAATATATAAATAAAATATCGTTATCGTTAATCTAATTCATTCATATGGATTAATAGAAATGTTTTTGAATCGATCGTTCTTCCATACCGGATAATTCTCCTCTCTTTTACCGGTATTGATGGCATAAATTTTTTTTAAAATTCTCAATGCTTCTTCGGTCTTGCCTCGTGAAAGTAAAAATTTGGGACTTTCCGGATAAGTTAAAGTAACAAGAGCTACGAAAAATGTTGGTAAGCTGATCGATGCTAATAAAAGTCTCCAAGAATTGTAAGAGATACCGTTGAACTCGATCGAAATCGTAAGTGGTATTATTATCCAGGCGAGACCTGTTAATACATAAAAAATAATCACGATTAATTAAACTTTATTGCGATGAAAAGAGTTGAAAATTGAGAGAGAGAGAGAGAGAGAGAGAGAGAGAGAGAGAGAGAAAAGAAAGAATCAAATTGATTACCAGGTAATATGAGCCAAGCGAGAGTCCAGAAGAAGCCAACGTAACAGATGCTCTTAGATCTATACTTTTCCGATTGAAATTCACCGAGATAAGTGTAGATCAATGATCCAGGAGCACCGATTCTGTAACGATCAATAATTTAACGATTGTCAAAAATCAAGTCTCAATTTTATTTGATTTTTCCTTTTTTTTTTCTTTTTTAAATAAATACAAGTACTAACGTGAAACCATTAATTGTACGAAAGATCAATAAACTGTTGAAGCTTTGAGAGAAACTCGAGATAATTGAAAAAATGCTATCAATCATAAAGGTCACCAAAAGGACGTTTCTTCTACCGTAAGCATCCGCGAAGATACCCCAAAAGATTGAACTGATAACTCCACCTTGAAAAAAATTAAACGATTGAAAAAGGAAATACGAGGATGAATTATCAAATTGCCTTGGTATTCGTGATCGATTCATCATTGATCATTTTTTTTTCTTTCTTTTTCTTTTTTTTTTTTTTTTTTTTTTTTTAGACTTACCCACGAGAAAGGCGACGTTTAAGAGCCCTTTATCTGCGGAAGACAATTTCAAATCGCATTCGGCCGAAGGTAAGATGTAAGCATTTATACTATTTTGAAAACCAACGGAGAGGAACATCATACCGCAGAGTAACATCAAGCCATAATGAAACTTTCCGTATCCTAAAATAAAAAAAAAGAAAAAAAAAAAAAAAGAAATAAAAATTATATTCAATAAAAGAACCATAAATTATTTCATAGGATCTATGTATATATAAAATGGAAAAATGTAGAAATAAATTGATCGAGAAATAATGTCGAGGAATTATGAATGAAAAGAAATATTAATTTTTTAATATTTAAATTATTTTATATTTAAATAAATAATTAATTTATTTAATTATTAATTAAATAAATAATATTACTTAATTTCTATTGAAAAATGCATACTAATATTAGACTATTAGAAAATATTAAAAAGAGATAATAAAAATATTAATAAAAATTACTATTCCTGTATATTTGGATAGAAAGTATTAATGTCATTTATTCAAATAAAAAATATTGAAAATATCTTTTCATTAATTGTTAGTCATTATAATAGAAAAATAAACAAAAAAAGAAGGAACGTAAAGGAAAATAAAACTATTCATACGCATATAATTTACGTATAAAATTTGTATTAAAAATAAATACATTTAAATATTTATCTTTCTTACCGCAATATCTGATGGCTTTTTCAAAATCTGCGCTTCCCTCTTTGGATTCATTACTGTTATCTGAAATCGCGTATATACGTTAATAGATTGACGTCATTAATCTTTCGATTTACCTGCGTCATTAAATAAATGATGTATCTATCTATCTATCTATTTATATATATGTGTGTGTGTGTGTGTGTGTCTGCGTCTGTGTATATCTTTTCGTTTTATTTTATTTTATTTTTTTTTTTTTTTTTTTTTTACTTTATGTACTTTTCTTTTCGTGTCTTTTTCAGTGATTCTGTAGTTCTTTCGATACGACATTATCCATCCGTGCGAAACGTGTGATATATAATTCCTGAAGTATTGCAAATAACGTCAGAAAAATATATATATATTTATATATCTTGAGGATTCCGTTCTTTTACGAGCCATTTTTCGAGAAATATGGGGAACAATTAAATAAATTTATTATTTATTTATTTATTTATTTTATAAATGTACCCAACGTAAAATTTATTTTAAGAATTTCTCTCTCTCTCTTCCTCTTTCTATATATATATATATATATATATATATATATATATATATATATATATATATATATATAAATTAATTCATATATATATATATATATATATATATTAATATATATATTAATATATATATTAATACATATATATATATATATATATTAAATTTACTATTTATTTACTTATTTATTTATTTATTTATTTTGTAATTATACCCAACATAAAATTTATTTTAAGAATTTTTCTCTTTCTCTCTTTCTCTGCGTGTGTTTGTGTGTGTGTGTGTGTGTATATATATGTGTGATATATATTGTTAAAGGGAGAGAGAGAGAGAGAGAGAGAGAGAGATAGATAGAAATAAAAAATATTCTAACAGAATGATTAAATAAATCGAATTTATTTTTTATTTATTATCTATAAAATCAAAGGACTGTAAAGGTTTATTTAAATATAAAAAATAAATCATTGAAAAATAATATAAAATATATTCTCGCAAAATTTTATTCCACTTATGTTTCATTCTGAACAAAATGGAAAATTAATCGATAGCGTTACGTTTCTCTTGAACGATACTTGATTTTTTTTTTTTTATAAACGATGGATCATAAAATATGTTCAACGAAACTTTGTTAACGTTCGATCTATTCTATTTAAAAAATAGAAATGGATTAAAATTATTCGACGATCAATTGAATTGATTATTTCGTTAACGAGAACAACAAAAGAAAAAGAAAAAAAGAAAACAAAGAAAAAAAAAAGAAAAGTAAAACAAAAGAAAAAAATTATTAAATAATTGGATTTTTATCATTGTATATATATATTAGCGCGTTGAAAAATGACGAAATAATTATTATCATTGTTTTTAATGTGAATTAATGCAAACTCGTCAAGATTTCACAATGCGTAACGCATATGCGTGATAATGAAATTTTGCGATATTTGCATGCAGTAAAAAAAAAAAAAAAAAAAAAAAAAAAAAAAGAAACAAAAAAAAAAGAAAAAGAAGTGTATTCGAATAAACGTTATAATATTTGATATTAATATCGAATCAAGTAAGTTACATTTATACGAGCCAATGTAATCGTTTTTAATTAGCAATACGACGACAATAATAGGCGCGACTAATGATCCTATTTAAACTATGAGCCGCAAATATTACTCATTAAAGTTCATCTCTTTCTTCTTCTTCTTCTTCTTTTTCTTTTCCTATACTTCATTTAATCTTTCTCTTCTTCTTCTTCTTCTTTTTTTTTCTCTTCTTTTTTTCTCGTTTCAAATCACTCGCAAATTCTAACAAATTATATCATTTCATTTATCCTCTACTCGTTCATTGTTCTTTTCTCGTTTCGTACGTAAAAAATCATTCATGCGATTATATTTTCTTTTTCTTTATTCTTTTTCTTTTACGTTTTTTTTTTCTTTTTTTTTTTTTTTTTTTTTTTTTTTTGTTATATGTATATATATTATATTTTATGTATTTTTTTTTTTTTTCGTTTCGTTTCAATCACGTAAAAATTCTTTTATCTTCTTCTTCTTCTTCTTCTTCTTCTTCATTTTATTATTATATCCTTTTTTACATTTTTATTATGTTCATTTTTTTGGATGTTATTTCTTTTTCTTTTTTTTTATTTCTTTCTTTTTCACACTTCCTCTTTTTTTCTTTTTCTTTTTTTTTATTTCTGTTTCCGAATCGTTGGAAAATAAAAATTCTTCGACCTAACGTTATTTTTCCTTTGTTAAATTTTCTTCTTATTCCTTACGAACGTTACTGTAACATTCTCGTGCAATTTTAGGAAAGAGAACGAGCTCAATTTTCTGATCCGTGCTCGTATCGTTCAACGAGAACTAACGCTTGAAAAGAAGAACACGCAATATCTATCTATAGTTATGATCTACATATTATAGATCCAGTCAAATCGGATCTAATCAAATTTGTATCGTTATATCTGTATTGTTATTGATTATAAAAGGATTTTTTTTGTTTTTCTTTTATTTTTTTTTCTCTCTTTTTTTTTTTTTCTTTTTAATATCGTCCAATTTCTCTGAGGGAAGAAAGAAAAGAAAAGAAGAAAATGATCTATCTTATTTTTTCATGCATTAAAAAAATTCTTCCTCCAATTTCAATATCAATATTTACATTTGATTTCAATTTTTTCCTTTTTTTGTTTCTTTTTTTTTTCCTTTTCGTGTAGACCCACGACACGATTGAGATAACCAAGGGTTACATTTAATTCGATATAGTAATGAATAGTTTTGTCTGCTATGATCTTCGTGAAATTACATAATTCTTGATCCTTGATAAATTGTTCGGTCTAACGGTGTTAATTAGATAAACGAGAGAAATTATAATCGAGAAAAAATCGAATGGCTCAAAGTCGTTTTAGTTGTCATAATTGTCGTTTATGTCTTCTTTGTAGTAATTTTCGTCGTAGTCGTAGTCGTGGTTTAATCGGTCGATTATATATCTCAAGTGGTAAATTAAACGGAGATAATTAAAAAGACGATTAGATGATACTTATTATATGTACGTACATATATCTGTTATTTTGGTGGAATCGATTATTTCATACGCAGTTGCCAACAGCTGTAATTAAATGTACATTATTATCGTCTCTAGTACGATTCTTTCAATATGAAAGGGATCAAATGAAAAGACGAAGTTTATTGTCGTAAATAAGGTCGATGATAGATCATCGTGTTGGTCCTTTTAAATAGAAATGATAGCAATTATAGATAAGAATAAAAAAGATGTTGTTTCTCCTTTTTTCTTTTTTTTTTTTTTTTCTCGCATACAACTATTTATCTATTTATTACGTGTTATTTAATGAAAAGAGATGAAAAAAGATTGTTACACTTTCCTCACATTGGACAGACAAAGATCGTATTATGTTTGTATGTTATATATATATTGCTTTTATTTCCAATTAGTATAATTTAATTATATCTATTATATCTATTAATTATTATTATTATTATTATTATTGTTTAATGTTGTCTAATGAACAAATGTAAAATTGTGTCGAAAGGTAACAGTCGGTGATTAACGAATATTATTATACATATTTATGTACGTATAATAATAATAACAATAATAATAATAAAAATGATAATAATATAAATGAAATAAAAAATAATATAATAAGTTAAAATAAAATAATGTAATAAAATAATAAATTAGATACAAAAAAAATAATAATATAAATAATAATAATAATAAAAGAATAAATACATACAGACATTATACGTGCATATATATATATATATATATATATATATATATATAATATATATATATATATTATAAAATTTATAATTAAAAAAAAAAAAGAAAAATAAATAAATTAACGTGATCCATTTACTGACCCACTATAAATGATATCGAAGTGATCCGGTTGACCATCCTGAGAAAATCCTTCGTAATAATTCGATGGTACACGAGCACTCACTGTACGTTGCCGGTCCTAAACGTCGACTGTTGAAGAAACGTGGACGCGGAGTCAGTCGCCGGTTTTCTTTGCATGAAGTTGGTGTAACCGATGACGACGGAGACCATTGACGTGATCAAACGTATCACACATTATGTCACGAGCAGGTAGATATGTGATCTACTAACACCATTATTGGCTTTCTCGATTTATCGAAATCGAGGTACAATGATTCGTTAATTATTTTTTCTTTAATCCACAACTCTCGATCAAAACTGATTTAATTCATTCGTTCTGAAAAAAAAACGAGATCTCTGTTATTTTTTCCCCTTCTTTTTCCTTATATATATATAATTATTTCTTCGTTCGCACGGAATTGAATTTAAGCGATCAACGGTAATGGAAAAAGGAAAATTAATTTTTCTCTTCTTTTCTTTTTTAATAATTTTTCTACGAAATTTCGCAACTTTGAAAATACAATTCTTTTCTTTATCTTTTCGCGCCAAAAATAATAGAATAATTTTGTAGCTTTCATATATTTCCTTTTCTTTTTTCCTTCAGCCAAATGTCTTTTTGTACTTAATATATCCTATTTATATATATATATATATATATATTTTTTTTTTTTTTTTTTTTCAGAAGGACCGGATTTTTTTTTTCTTTTTCTAATAACAATCTTTTTACGGTACAAAAATGTAAATTTTTTGGCCAATCAAAAAATACATTTTTAGCAGAACATTTTCGCGTTATTAATAATAAAGGATTAGAGATACTTTCTTATGCAAATCCAGACAATAGTCATTTGAGTAAATAGATCATTTCGTACTGTTTGTTTAGGGCGCGGTTCTTTACAATTAGGCTCGTTGACCTGACAGAATTAGGAGTGGATCGATGAGTTTCATTGTCGCATTTTAATCGCTCGTCGCACCTTTTAATAGATCATAATTGTCTTACGTATTGAAAGGAAACGGTAATGTAAATTAATATATGTATATATAATCGCGCATATTTAATACAATACAATAGTACAATATATATGATAAAAATAACTTTGCATTTTGAATTATTACATTTAAAATATAAAAATATTTTTTATGTGATGCACACGATATTGCTAATATAGAAATAGATTACTTTTTTTTTTCTTTTTTTTTCTTTTTTTTTTTTTTTTTTTCTTTTTTTGTAAATACAATAGGATTAGGTCGATAAAAAGAAAATCTTCTCTTATCGACATAAAATTGATTGATGCGATTTTATTGACTGTTGGTATACATATATATATATACATATATGTATCTATTGTATCTTATCGAATCGCTGTGAAATAATGATTAAATTTGAAAATATTTCAATAAAATATAATCAGTAAAACAAATTAATATTAATATGAATGAAATTTTTGACAATTACAAATTTTTTACCATATATAGATATATATTGAATAATAGTATACCCTGTTGACAATAGATGGCAATGTTTAATAATTGTTCATTTACTACATAGTTGTGTTCACACGTTACATCGGTTAACCTAAGTAGTAATAAAAGAATTTTGTTAAAATATTTATAAAACTTAACGCGTTACAGACTTTATTAAATATTATATAAATAATATATATGTTAAAATGTATATAATTTGAATTCATTGTGATTATGTCATAATACAATATACCACTTTTGAAAATACACATTTCATACGTAATTATATAAATTAATATTTTTTATATTAATTTATATACATATACATATATATATATATATATACGTATATTTATAACATGTTGTCTTTAAATTCAAATTGTTTTAATAATGCACTCAGAACATTTCCGTATTGGAGATTAAGTTCGTTATTAAGTACAAATGTAGTGAGTCCTGAAACAAGTAATATAACTAAGGTAAGTATTGTATTTTATAACACTATTAAGAAGATTTATATGAAAATTCAATTATTTAATTTTACATATATATATGTATATATATTTCTTTTTTAGTTGGACGATAATGTCAGTCAGGATGATCAAAAATATATAAAAAAGGATGAAGTATTAAAAAATGGAGGAATTCAACAAGCAAAAGCATCACAAACATCTACTCCTGTAAATATATCTAAAGAAAATATTATTTCAAGTAATTCTTTAAATGAACGAATTAGTCAAGCAAAAAATGCAAAAGATTTAATATCCCTTATGAACAATTCAAATATAACAACTAATCATATTAAAGAAATTTTACATCAAATTTCTAATATAAAAATTGATGTAAAAGAAATGAATATATCTAATATGGTTAATAAGACGAATGAAAATTTGAAAGAAATATACGATAAAAAGATAAAATTCAGTAATAATCCTGGATTTTTATCATTAGCAACACCTAAATTAATTCAGGTTGGTTAACCATAATTTTTACATTCCTCTTTATTTTTTTTTTATTTTTATATACTTTCTTTTTTACAGATACTAAAAAAATTATCTTATACCAATGACAGAAATATACCTTTATTAAAAGCATTATCGCTTAACATTGCTCTATATAGCGACCAATTAAATATTAGAATGTGCGGAGACATTTTATATAGTTTGGCCATTCTAAACTATCCAGAGGAGGTAAAAGATTATTAATATAATTTATAATTTCAATGTTATAAATTATTAGATATGTTTTAACAAATATTATTATTTATTTCTAGAGTTTATTAGAAAAAATAATGTCTACTTTACTTAAAGAGATAAATCGTAATGATTACGGACCTATTGTTAGTTCTATAGTAAACTCCATACGATTGCTTAAGTATAAAAATCACGAAGTTCTCGATAACATTTTTATATGGGCCAATAATAATATCGAAAAATTAAGATTCCAAGATTTTACAGCTATTTTAAAATGTTTAGCTACATTTGGTTATATCCCTAAAAATATGGATAATTTACAAGTATTTTTTATCAAATATATCCAATTATGTGTGTGTGTGTGTGTGTGTGTGTGTGTGTGTGTGTGTGTGTGTGTGTGTGTATATATAATTTAAAAAATATATAGCAAAAAAAATTTTTCATAAATAGGTATATATAAATACATTAAACCAAAAGAATACATCATCAAATAAAGAGTTGTGGCTAGATTATGTATGGTCTTTGACAATTTTAAATAGAGTAACAACAGAACATGTTTCATCTGTATTGAATAAAAACTTTGTTGAATCTATTTTAAGTAAGTATTTACTTAAATGCAAATTATTGTAGAATCAATATGGAGAATGTTTTTATTTTTGATCAATTGTCATTCTTTTCAGATGAATCTAGAAATCAGAATATAATAAGAACACTTAAGCTATTGAACATTAATGCTAGCGCATATAACATTCTGAAAGATTATAATGGTATAAAAACTTTTTGATTTTAGATCTATAAATATTTTAATTATGTATCATTGAAATAACATTTAATTTTAGGTCCTTATCTTGAAGATAAAAATGATGTATTTTCCATAGTTATGGAAAATAAAAAACAAAAGCAAGAACTTGTTGATATGTTGGATGAGACATTGCAAGAAATAGCACCCTCTTGTTTTCAAATGAATATAAATACTAAAATGGGTTTCAATATAGGTATTTTACAAAAATATATGTATATATGTATATATATATATATATATATATATATATATATATATATATATCGTTCTTTATTTACATATATGATATATCAATTCCATTATATTAATAATAAAAAATCATGGTATATACATTACATCAAGAATTAGTTGTTAATCTGTTTTAAAAAAGAAAATGTATATTATCTTGTTAATTTTTTAGATGCGGAATGCTGTCTGAATTCTAAAAATAAGTTTGTAAAATATAATGATGAAAACTTAAAGAATTCAACAAATACGAGGTAATTATAAAATTATGGAATTACGATATAATAAGGAATATTTAGATTTGTATTATATTTTAAACTTTATATTATTATAGGTTAGCAATAATGGTACATTCTTATCATGATTACTCACGAGGAGAAGAAGACATTTTAGGAATAGTAAATTTTTATAATAATGTATTAAATGCTCAAGGTTATAGAGTTTTGAATGTATCTTATCAAAATTTTAGTGTAAATGATATACTTCTAAAGCGTATAAAATATTTAAATGATCAGATCAATTCTGTAAAAACATCTGCAATGTGATGAAGTGTAATAAAAGAACACAATACAATGGAAATAAAATAAATAATTAATTTATTATGTTACTTTCAATTGATTTTTCAATTGCATTTCAATTTATTTCATGGTATTGCATAAAAAATAAACGAAAAGAAAATGTTTCATTAAATATCTCTCAAGCAAAATGTAAATCTTCTGTATCTAAATGTTCTACGATTGAACGGTACAATTTTTTCTTTTTCTTTTCTTTTTTTACTAAAATTCAAATAATACGACTAAATACAATGAAAATTAATTATTCAGACTTTATCAGCTGTTCTGTTTTTTCCTGAGTAAATTTTGAAATAGCGTTATAAGCCTTTGTAATGTGAGAAGGACTATCTGCTACAAATTTTATGCTCGTGATTACTCCTGCATTCCATTTTGTTAATAACCAATATTTTAGATCTGCGATACTTGGCGGAATCTAAAAAAATATTAGAATGATTAAATATCCAATAAACATCCAATTGACTTTAATTTTTTCTACTTACCCCTCCTGTAATTTCTTTAGGTACATATCTCGTTAAATATGGATAATCTTTATACATTTTTTCATACACTTTAAGACTCTCATTATGCTTTGACCAATAACCTTCGTGTACAGAAACATAAATAATACTACCAACAAGACTGGCTTTAATAGTGAACCTGCAAACATAGCCTAAATCAGTATATTAATTTGGCTTGTTAAAAAACGATAGCATGCAAATACCGTGACAACAATAATTCTTCAATCTTCCGTATGCTTACTAACCGCGCTAAACCCATAATATATGTTATAAATTACTTTTTTTTTTTTTTTCTTTATATCAGGACCCGACGAGAAGAAAACCTTCACCTATTCAGAAATAACAAAATTACGTAAAGTCCAATAATTTTGATAATTTTCAATTTACAAACTGACAAACGCTATAATCTTAAATTAAATATATTAATAAATTTTTATATAATTAAAAAAAAAGTAAAATTTTCAATAAAATTTATAATATATTTACCTAAATTTGAAGTATTAAACTTATGTCACAATAAGAAATTGGAATGTCATTGATTCACGCAGTAGTAGAATCTAATGAATGAACATATGCATTCAAAGAAAGGCGTCAAATTCACATGATCGTGTTATATGATTTTTATAAACATTGGTTCATTTTAAAGATGAAGGTTTAAACGATGACACGGCTTTCTCGAATTTTTGAAAATGTTTTTCTTCTTTTTTTTTTTTTCCATTCATAAACCATTCTCGAAAGATTATCATTTCTTTGACGCGCTTTTTTTTTCTTCAAAGAAAATAAAGCTCATTCAAAAATTCGAAAAGGCCATGTCATTCCTTAAATCTTCATCTTTAAAATGAGCCCTTGTTCGTCAAAATCAATCAAGAATTACGTCTATACTCATCGTTGGCATTAATCATTATAAAACCCAGATCCATAAGCGGATATACGTATTTACAGTCAAATGAAAATTCGTTGAACGCTGTTATATATTTTTTTTTTCGACTGTTACCATATTTTAACTATAAATTTATTAAATAATATTTGATCGTACACCAATCTGGCATTCTTATAGTTTTTTAATTAAATCATATTCATTTGGAAATGCCATAATGATACTATTTATTTCAGAATTATATCTTGTTAATATTGATAACATAACCTAATAATGTTGCCATCGGATTGCGAAGAATTAAAGGTAATAAAAAATATATATATATATATATATATATTATTTAAATAATAACATCTTAAATAATAATATTAATAATAATTTCTACATATCGTTTATATTTATTTTCCAGCGGATTGACACAATATTACTTTGTGGGATATGCTATGAATATATGGAAACCACTGTCATTACACCGTGTTCCCATAATTGTAAATTAACTCTATGAAATATCTTTCATTATGATTTATATAGATATTAATTAATCATTTTTATTTTTAGATTGTTCACTTTGTATACGAAAATATCTACATTATAAAACACAATGTCCTACTTGTTTCGAAGAAATCTTTGAAAAGGATTTAAGAGTAAATAAAGCTTTGGACGAGATCAAACAATATTTTTTAGAGTTAAAAGAGAAATTAGCTAAGTGCGTTCAAAGTATTCAAAATGATAAATTAAATTTGTCGAAGATTAAATTTTGCGAGGAAAATTTAATCGACGAAAAACGATTAAACGTTAATCACAAGGATACTTCCAATTATGGAGACCAAAAGTATATTGGAAATAATTTGGAAAATATTGAATATACATTACACGATGAAAGAACTACTTTACTTAGTCCAAGTACCAGTAATACATCCAAATTATCCACTTTCTTTACACCAAAACGTAAGAAAATATCTCAAGATATTATCAGTGAAAAGGTAGTAATATGTCCAGTTTGTAAAGTAAATGTTTTAGAAAAGAATATAAATAGACATTTAGATGATTGTTTAAAGAGAGAGGTAACAAATGATAAGCCTGTCAAGTAAGTAAGTATTACATTATTAATAATTTCATATAATCATTAAATACATTATGGAGCTTTAATTATTACAGACCTAAATCAAAGCGTAAGCCATTACCAAAGTTAGTTCTCAGTTTAATGAAGGAAGGAGAAATAAAAAAAAAGCTAAAAGAATTAGGTCTTTCTTATGTTGGGGATAGAAAAGTTTTGGAATTAAGATTTCAAAGATATACAACTCTCTATAATGCAGAATGCGATAAGGATGATCCAAGATCCGTTTCAGAATTAATCAAACAATGCGAGGAGGAAGAAAATTTGGAAAAAAAAGCAAACAAGTTACCATTCATTGTAATTTTTTCTTTTCCTTTTTTTTTTCTTTTTTTCATTTTTTCTTTTTTTTCTTTTTTTTTTTTTTTGAAGCTTTTATCTATTATACAAAATTAATTTTCTATTTTAAAATATAAATGAATTTATTTTGCAGAAGTTGCAAATTAATAGAAACACTGCTGAGAATATTATAGAAGAGGAGAGAAAAAAGTATTGTAAGTTTTTTAATCATTATTACCGTCGATTAGAATTCGAATGAGGATATATTATATTATTTTCTAATTATTTATTCCACTTGTAGTAGAAATGCATAAAAATAGTTTTGAGAGTTTAATTTCAAAGATTAAAAGTACAGAAAATTCACAAAAATCCTCGGCAAGACGTTCAATACTTAATGAAAATATGGACTCTGAAACAAATGCTGTGCATTCTACAACTTGCGAAAATTTTTATCTGCAAGATTCAGATTCAAGTCTTGATGATTGCCCATTACAAATGTATTCTAGTGAAAGTCCAATGAATTTTCTTACAGTAGAATTATTGACATCTACAAATGAGAAGATTAAAGACACTAACTGTTTAATTGATAAAGAAAAAGAAGAAGAACAATTAAGTAATACAAGTTCTGGCTTTTTTCATTCTGAAATGGAAAAAACAAATAATAATAATTCTTGTACTTTTGTAAATGAACGTTCAATAATATCTAATGAGGTTCCATGTTCAAGCAATACCTATGCCAATACGAAAAAATCATATATAGAGAAACAAGTAAAAAGAAAAAAATTATCAATGGAAGAAACCCAAAAGAAGAATGATAATTTAACAGAAACAATATTGGAAAACTATGCGTCTGATTTTTCAAGTAATGACAGTGTTATTTGTAACTCAGATTTTGGTATGTAATTTGTATGTGTTATATGATTTTACTGATTATGGTATATAATGTATACATTTGTTAATATTACAAATAAACTATTTTGTATAAGCGAATATCTATATTACAGAGACATTCGAAAATTATGTTCATGATATTATTAAGGGTACAGATATCAAAGAAAATGCATTTATAAAATCGAATCTGGAGAAAGAAAATATTAAAAAACGTAAAAAAAGAAGATATGATAATGCAATTAAGGGAGAAGAAAATGCTTTGAGAAAGAAGTATAAAGTTAAACTACAGACGAATTGTCTTAGCGAACAAAATATACTTACTCGTGACGGAGATCACCTCGATGAATCTTACAATAGTATGGAAAATAAATTTTCTACAAAATTGCAAAAGAAAAAAGAGGAACAATTAACGTCCATCGTCTGTACTCCACAAAGAAAATCAAACAGATTAAGAGTTAAAAATAATCATTCTATAAATTGTGATACGAAGGAACGATGACATATTGAAATTATTATTTAAATATATTAAGATTATATAATTTAAAGATTTTCAGTAATTGGATAACGCATGAAATTTTTTTTTTCCAATATTTATACATACACACATGTATACTTTACACAATAACAATATTGTGTTAAGTCATTATTATTAATATTTATATCATAATTGTTGAGCTGCCAAAAAAAGAGATAAATATCAAAATCATTATCAAAGACAATGTAGTTTATTGAATATATTACATCATTCCAATCATTAAGTGATTCAACAATAATAATAATAATAATAATAATAATAATAATAATAATAATAATTATAATAATAATAATAATAATAATAATAATAATAATAATATGATAGCGAATGCATCTAAGTTTTTATATTTTACAATATTCGTAAATATTATTAACAATAATTTAAGAGAGTGAGACTTATATAACGTTAAAATAGTTGTCTTTGACGTTCACTAAATACACTTTGGTATCATTTACACCACATTCGTCTTTTTTTTTTCTTCTTTTATATATATATATATATATATATATATATATATATATATATAATATTTACAGTGTATCGACTTTATTATAAACTTTAAACGCTTTATTATTATTATTTTTTATTTTTGTAACTTTTCATTTTTTTCTTTTTTTTATTTTTTCTTTCTTTTTTTATTGAAACAACTATCACATTCATAAAATAATATTCTTTTTCCTGTTTTATTAATTTTTTTTTTGTTTTTTTTTTCTTGTTTTTTTTAAATCTCAATAACTTTTTATTGCACCGTGGTGATAAAGAGACGATTTTATTATCGTTCCTGTTACTCAATACAAATGCAGTACTGATACAGGAAATACAGGAACGAGATTATGAGATTATGTAATTTCAATAGATCTATAATGGACGTTTCTATAATGGGGGTGGGGAAAAAAAAAAAAAAAGAAAAAAGGGAAAACAATTAACATTCATATACTACTTTTTGTTTTTGTTTTTTTTTTTTGCCTTTTTTTTGTTGTTGTTGTTGTTGTTTTAAACATTGTTTTATCCTACATGGTATGGCATCACGCGAGGTAGTTACTCGATCGTTGATACAACACTCTCGAAAAATATTCTACAAGCGGACTTTCTCCTGTGTGCAGTCGATATTTCGTGTGTTTGTATGTGGTTTGTGGCGCGTGTACGTGTGTATGCGTGCATGTGTATATATATTCAATGTATAGAATTTTAATAATAAATAAATAAAGATTATTAACTAATTTCTTTTCTTAAAGTTAATTTTGAGAGGTCATTGAATGAATTGAATCATCGATTGATTTTATTCGATCGCAATGAAACCGATTTTATCGATATTGCACGAAAATCTATTTATAAATATTTAACATTATTGCCCGTCACAGGATAGCGAAATATTTTAAAAATTATTTTGAGCGAATCGAGATTTACAAGTTTTTTTTTTTTTTTTTCTTTTTCTTTTTTTTTTTTCCCCTATAAGACTACGCATTTTCAAATATGCTTCCTAAAGCCCGTGACTTGTGAATCGACGATAAGTTATTATTGTTATTTATTCTTATTTTCTTTTGTTTTTTTTTTATTTTTTTTTTTTTATTTTTTTGTCTTTTTTCTTTTTCATTTTTTCTCTCTTTTTTTTTTTTCTTCCTTTCTTTTATTACAGAGAATGCGTGTACATGTATGTGTTTTGTTTGTTTGTTTGTTTGTTTGTTTGTTTTTTTTTTTTTTTTTTTTTTTTTTTTTTGTTATGAGATATGTTCAGCGTGTATAGAAGCTTATATTCAATCAACGTTCGTTCAATTTAATTTTCATTTAAAATTTAATCTAATTTACATAATTAATATATTTTTCTTTCTCTCTTATTTCGTTTTTTTCTTTTGTTTTGTTTTTTTTCCTCTTCTTTCTTTCTTTTTTTTCTTATTCCTTTTGTTCTTTTTTTTTCCTTTTCTTCTTTTCTCTCTCTCTCTCTCTCTCTCTCTCTCTCTTGCCTAGATTCAAAAAGACGAGATTTAAATTTATTATCATTAATCGTACGAAGAATTCTAAAAGTGAAATATTTTGATTATGATCGTTTGATTATGAGAAATTTCAATTCTTGTTCGTTTGTTTCTTTTTTTTTTCTTTTTTTTTTTTTGTTTTTTTTCCTTGCGACAATGACATTTAATTATCAATTATATTCGAACGTGCATTAATCATTTAAGGAAATATTGTCTTTTAGGAATAATAAGTACATGATTGTATACGACAATTATTGGAGTACCTTTAATTGGTCGAATTTACGAAAAAGAAGAAAAGGAAAGAAAAAAACAAAATAAAAGAAAAAAAAAAAAAAAAAGAAAAACGAAGAAAAATAATCGACGCCAATCGTGACTCCCGCGAAATTGATATAATAAAATAATTCATTATCGCGGTGAACAATAAAAATTATAAGAAACTATATATATATATATATATTACGTGGAGATTCGAGGGGTGAGGGGGAGGGGGCGGGGGAGTGGGAGCGGGGCGATCGATATCGCATTATTTGACTTTTCATTATTTCAAACGAATCCCATTGCTCCAACGGGATATACATTCACGATTTTTCATAAATACGATGAACACTTTGATTTATTTTTTATCCTTTCTCTTTCTTTTTTATTTTCTTTTTTTTCTTTTTTATTCGTATATTCTCGTTCACTTCTTTCTCTTTTCTTTTTTTTTTGTTTTTTTTTTTTTTTTTTTTTTTTTTTTTTTTTATTAAATAATTAATTAATTAATTTATTTTTTTTAGTAAAAGTTCAATAAGTAACCCGCGCTTCTGCTGAAAAATAATTCTCTCTCTCTCTCTCTCTCTCTCTCTCTCTCTCTCTCTCTCTCTCTCTCTCTCTTCTTTCGCTCTTAAAATTTATTTTTTCTTTCTCTCGGGAGGAAACTCATCTATTTAATTTCAATTATATATGTTATTCCTTCACGCTCTTACATACATATGTATAGGAAATGCAGTCTTTTTATTATCGATCATGAAGTTCCACGATCTACATGGATCTATTGATCGTGAACATTGTATATCCTATACGTTCTAAGCTCGTTCCAATGAACGTCTCTCTCTCTCTCTCTCTCTCTCTCTCTCTCTCTGATCCGTTTCTCTTTTTGTCCCCATTCTTTTTTTTAACTTTTTTTCCTTTATCCTTAATCCTTTTTCTGTGTGTGTGTGTGTGTGTGTTTTTTTTTTTTATCTTTTATGATCGTTTAATCAGACACCTAATCGATTTTTACTGTCACGTTGCATTTTCTTGCTTGTTCTTTCTCATCACCGTAATACCTATAGAACCGCGTATCTTACGTAACAAGTCTATTATCTCAGCCGTCGACATACTTTCGACACTCTCATCGTTAACCTGAAAAATATAATATATAAGAGATCGCGCGTTATTAATAAAATTTTTCTATTTTTTTTTTTTTTTTCTTTCTTTATGATCACCACTCCAGCATAGATAAGTAGACGAACCATTAACAAGACGTCGCCCTGTTTCAATCTTCCGTCTCTAGCTGCTACACTATCAGGATGTACCACCGATATCACAGTGTGATTGTCTTCGGACTTTAAACTGAAACCTAATCGACTATTCCATCCGCGTGTCAATTCTACCATGAACACCTGAAAGATATATTATATATAAAAATATACACACACACATATATATATATATATATTTTGTTGTTGTTTTGTTAAAAAAAATAAAGAAAAAAATTAGATGGTTTCATTATTAGAAAGAAAGTTTATATATTATTGAATCAACCTACTTCGTTTCCCTGTTCATCATGACCCTCAGAAGATATCGTTGAGTCCAAATTATCTTTATCGACTTTGGTTACGTCTTTCTCGCACTCGTTCATATCGTCGCTAGGTGCAAACATAACTCCCTTCCACTTTAACAAACCCTTGCTACCAGCTGGATCTTCCGTTCCAAGAATCTTACCTAAGAGAACCCGCGTATCGAGATTTAATTTAAACTCCAAGTGAAAGACTTTATATACGTACGAGGAATACTACAGAGGCAAGAACTTTTTTTTTACTGTGTTACGTATGTACTCTCGCACGCCCACTGATTATCTTATCGCTTTGTAAGCTTTATCAATGTTATTCGATTTTAATAGAGTAAAGGGGAGAAAGAGAAAGAGAAGGAGGAGCAGGAGGAGGAGGAGGAGGAGGAGGAGGAGGAGGAGGAACAGGAAGAGAAGGAGGAGGTGAAACGAGGTAAAACGAAGTAACAATACCTGGTATATCTTGATCGCTTGAATGCGTAACTTTGTTCTTTGATACGGCGTCAATGGTAACGCCGCATGCTGGATTAGCACTCTGATAGGCAGGATTTTTGTAACTGAAGGCACCACCAGTACTATTACTGCTAGTCGACGAGAGTACTGGTGGCATTGAGGCAGGTTCAGATGGCAAATCATTGTCCTGTTCGTCGCTTGACAATCCACGGATTTCCTTTCCATGATAATCGGTCTCGAACGAACAACTGGAATCCTTTTCGGAGAATAACATAGTCTCGACCGGATATTCGTCCGAGTCGGCGCTGCAAAATTGAAAATGTGGCTTCCCTTGAGGCGCGGATAGATCTAAGAAACTTGGCCGAGTTGGAGTTCTCAATGGTGAATCGGTTGTCTCGCATACGTGATATTGTGACGGTGGATCTATGATGATATCCGTATTGGAGATCGGTGTATTAGCTTGCGAATTCGTTATTTGCGTTCTTACGGAACACTGATCGGAATCCGAAGTCTCAGCCTGACTCCCTATAGATGCTGTTTGTCCTTCGTGAAATTTCTCCGGGATCTCTATGAAAAATATTCAAGGTTTTCAATAAATGCAAAAGATTTAAGATGAAATTTAAGATCCTTTTTAGAAGGATCTTTTGTCTTTCTTCTTCTTCTTTTTTTTTTCTCTCTCCTTTCGATCTTTTTTTTCCAATCGAAGGATACCTTGATCGTTATCGGCAGTGGGTGTACGAGTAGCGAGTCGTCGGTGTCTTCTCGGTGAAGTACAGGATGCGGCAGGTGATTGCAAACAACTGGAACCACTCGATGTACCTGGTGATAGTTTTCGAGCTGCTAAATCGCACAGCATATCCACGGCTTCTTGTCTGAAGTATGAAATAAAATATTATTTTGTATCTATCTTATTCTGTTATGTTACGAATCGTTACGTTTGTTTTTTTTTTGTTTTTTTTTTTTTTTTTCAAGAGTTTTATTTAAAAAGATCTCATCGAACCTTAGACAGGTTCGCGGTGGACGAAGAGGATGATCCGGTTCAGTAGGTGATAAAGCGGAAACCGGTGTTTGTGCCAGATCACGATACAATCGAAGCTTCACCTTTGGTCCACACTGTCTCAAGAGTGCCACAGCCTCTTCATGGCTCATCGGTGAAAGCGGTGCACCATCAACCGCGACGATCTTGTCACCAGGACGAATCCTACCATCGCTGAGAGCCGGTTCACGGACGAGTGCTCTCACGTAATGGCCCAATGCACTGCTGTCAGCCTTCCTCAGGGTGAAGCCTAAGCTACCTCCTACTTTCATCATTTCTATATCGAATTCCTGCGATATATATACATATAAATATATATATATATATATTTATATAATTAAACTAACCATAAGTGTCCCAATATAGAATTTTATTTGCGTACATATAAATTATCTAATTTAATTAAATATTATTTATTATATATTGGCAAGTTTCGAAATCATTTCATTCAATTTTACTATCAATAATTGAATTAATAAAATACGTGTTACGTAGAATAATATCTTCTCTTATAAAGGAGGAGGAGAGGCCATAGATATTTATCGAACTGTCATTTATAAATATTACTTACGCCACAGGGCTCAATTTGAAGTGGCGGCAGAGGATTTGGAATTCGTAATGGTGGCGGCGGCTCACGACGTGCTGGAGGTGGTGGGGGAGCACCAGGTGGTGTGACATTTGTGTCACCCGGAAGTCTGCACACTACCAGCTCGACCGTGTTCGGGGTCGTTCGTAATACTTCTAATGCTTCCTGCAAACAAATCTGGTCGTACTCAATAACTTTTCACATATATATTCTTTCTACATATAATAATAATAATAATAATAATGATATTTTTTATTATATAATTGTTCTTTCAACTTTTAAAAAATTTATCGACCGCGCTCTTTACTTATCATTCATTACCGACCGATGTTTATTATCGGCCGATATATTTGTTATCGACCTTTTATTACAGAGTACACGTTACCGACCGAATTCCATTTTTATTCGTCAAAGAAACGAACGATAATATCATAGATACATCGAGCCCCATGTATCTTCGGTAACGTAACTCTTTCGCAATATCGACGAATGAAATAAAAGAACGTCGTCGGGCAACGCGAGATGGCACCACTCGATGTAAATTTTTCTCTTTTTTGGCTCGAAATTAAATCACCCTTTACATTAGAAATAATACTATTTTTATCTGTAAAATAAATAATTGTAAATTGCTAATTGTACAATTAAAATTACATCGGTCCATTAATAATAATGAGATCAAACGTTCTTTATATTCGTTTACTTAAGGATATATGAAAAATATTATAATTAAATACAAATATTATACAAAACAGAGAAACAAAATTCGTTTGATCGTGCGTTTATGAATTTCAGTTTTCGAGAATTATACAAAAAGGAGAATGTCCAATCGTTTTAAAACTATATACGATCGCCATGTGATTTTAATCATACATAATATCCCATGGGGTTTCACGGGAATTTGTACTCACGTAATTCGTTAAACCGGTTAAAGGAATTCCATTGGCGGCGAGGAGTATATCTCCTGGTTGAAGTTTGTTGGACAATGCGGCGGGTTGTAATGGGAAGAGCCTTTTTACTCTGACAGGTCCTGCAGTACCACCACCGGAAACGCTTAAGCCTAGACCTCGACTGCTCTTTTGTAACGTCACTCGGAAAGTGCTCTCTGAAAAATGATTAACGATAATGTCAATCAATAAAAATCGATTATGTTTCCGTTCTAACGTTCTAACATTTGTCATTGTTTATTATTTCTTTCTTTCTTTATTCTTTCCATTTTTTTTTCTTTTTCTTTAGCTCTCTCTCTCTCTCTCTTTCACTCTTTCTCTCTTCGTCGTACTCCGTAATCGTTCGTAGATGAAAGTAATACGAGAAAGAAAAAGAAAAAAGAAAGAAACAACAACAAAAATTGAGCGATATAGAGATAATGATAATCTAAATAATCCCCCTCCGTCCCCTCCACACCCCTCCCCCGCTTCCCGCATACATACGTATATCGTAATAAATATTTTTCAAAAATATGGCGGGGTCTTTACATTGATGCATAAATACGTGTATACGTAAAATACCGTATGTACCGTATGTACCGTATGTACCGTGTGTACGTACGTACGTACGTACGGTCACGACATCACGGCAAATGTCCCGATGACGCACGATCTAATATATGACAATGGCGCGCGAACAATTGCTTTTCGTCTAGCGTGTTCCAAGCGTTGTCAGCGTACCGTTTGCATATTTCAAACGCCGCTTGTTGGCGTGGTTGGTTACGCGGCGGCTCGTTGTCTGTCGCAAAACGCGACACGCATACCTTTTAACCTACCTCACCCCCGTCCCACCCTCCTCTTCCTAACCCCTCCATCCTCCCCCCAACCAACAAAACCTCACAATTCTCCGAGCGTTCTATTACCCTCCTCGATGTTACTTTATTTTCTATATTTTTCCTATTTCCCTTTCTCCATTTCTTTCATCTTTCGTTATACATTTTTCCGATTACGCGCAATTTTCGTCGGTCGAAATTTTTTTTCTTTTTGCTTTTATCTCTCTCTCTCTCTCTCTCTTTCTCTCTCTCTGTTTCTTTTTTTTTTTATCTCTCCTTCCTCCTCTTCTCATGTAAGAGTGCGTCGATTCAGTCTTGTTCTTTTCGTTTAAACGACAAATTTACTCCTGCGCTTACTTTTTTCCTTCTCTTTATTATTTTTCTTTTTTCTCTTTTTTATTTCCCCCCCCCCCCCCACTTCTCTTTTCACTGTTTTTCTTTTTCTTTGACAAATGAAAAAAGGACGAACGGATCCCGCTTATTAGAAAATTCTTCACATTTTTGCACAGAATTGCTTCGTTTTGCTTTGGATGGGTGGGTGGGGTGGGGAGGGAGGGAAGGGAGAGGGGAGGGGGTGAGGGAGATAGGTTCTTTCGCGTAAAGAAAAAAAAAAGAAGAGAAAAATCAAAATATAAAGGAGAAAAAGAAAATGCAGAAGATAAAAAAGAAAGAAAAAAAAAAAGAAAAGAGAGAGAGAGAGAGAGTGTGATAGTGTGATAGAGTGATAGTGTGAGTCGTATGAAACGGTTCGTGCCATTTTTCCTTAATTAATTTGAAGGGAAGGAGGAACTCCGGTCGACTTATTCGAACTATCTGAACACACACAAACACGCACACACACACATACACACTAACCGCCTATATATACATTATATAGATATAGAAAGAGAAAGAGAGAAAATAAGCCAAAGAGAGAGAGAGAGAGAGAGAGAGAGAGAGAGACAGAGAACAATAGTTGTCGACCAGTCAGTGGTCTATTGAAATTCGTTATTGGCAAGAGGTGCTACCCCGAGCACCCAGTCCCTCTCTCCCTCCCTCCCTCCCACTGTCCTCTCATCCCCCGATCCCCACCTTCCAATACTTTTTTTTTTTTTTTTTTTTGTTCCTTTTCATTATTTTCACGGCTGAACTCAAATAGCGAAACGGCACCCATTTCGAAATGACCCACCTTCGAACGGATATTGACCCGATCCGGCCGACATATCGTTCTCATTGTTCACCTTGCTAGCCATTCAAATTCTCTCTAGGCTTACTACTCTCTCACAAAGGCTAATTTACGTGCGCCCGCGTTATTGTCTCCAGTTGTACTGTGTGTCAAGTCTTATTGAGAGAGAGAGAGAGAGAGAGAGAGAGAGAGAGAGAGAGAGAGAGAGAGAGAGAGAGAGAGAGAGAGAGAGAAAGAGAGACAAAAAGAACATCGTCGTGATCAAAAAAACACGGAGTCAAAAAAAAAACGAACGATAAAAATTCGTAGCGATTTTTTTTTCTATTTTTTTTTCCTCCCTTTTTTCTTAGAGCTTCTGAAACGACTCTAATTATTAAAAGGAGAAAAAAATAATTCGACTTCTTTTTTCCCTTCTTTTTTTCACATATATATACATATATATATATATGTATATATATATATATATATATATATATATATATATATATATACGGAATATGTATACGTATATATGTGTGTGTGTGTGTGTGTGTGTGTGTGTGTGTATGTTTCATCTCTTCTTTTCAAATAGAATTTTAACTATGACCATCATTCAAATTCTCCTATATCCTCGTACGAATTTATCTTTCACGAAAATGGCGCCGTTCGATTTCCTCTTGAAATTTAACATTGTTCAGGGAAGATCGTTATACGTCGTGTTCTCGACGATAGGGAATCGTTCGCAAATTTGGAAGTAATCAGGATAGAAAGAGAAAAAGAGAAAGAGAAAGAGAGAAAGTGAGAGAAAGAAAGAGAGACAGAAAGAGAAAGAGAACGAGAGAGAGAGAGAGAGAGAGAGAGAGAGAGAGAGAGAGAGAGGAGAGAGAGAGAGAGAGAGAGAGAGAAAAGTGATTAAAATTTACACGGTCGACGTATTTGAGAACGTCAGCGAATTATAATCTAATGCGTAGCGAGTCGACCGATATTATACGAGAAACGAGCATTAGCGTGAGATAGATAACGATAGCAATATTCCTGTATGTTAGAGAAAGAGAGAGAGAGAGAAAGATGAAATGAGACTATCGAGCAGAATTTCTGCTTCAATATTACGTAATACGTTATTTGATTGAATTAACGTTATAAACTATTACGAACGATTATATATTTCGTTTGTAATAATTGATTTTTCTCCCCTCTCTCTCTCTCTCTCTCTCTCTCTCACTCTTTTTAAAAATATTATTAAACTCTTTCTATCATTTTATTTGTCGACGTTATTTAATTCCCATACGAATATAATAATTACACGGAATAATTTCTTTTTTTATTTATCGATAAATTGAATTAATGATAAATGGTAATTGGGTTAGCCGATAGCTATTAGATTATCATTTTATATATACATATATATGAGGCTATTGTTAGAATGACGTTTCGTCTATCCATCTAAGTAATTTCGTTCGAATTGATTTTCTCGACTCCGTGGTATATTACGAATGAAATACGGAGTAGACGATTCACTATGATTTATGGATGCAAGTGGTTATGTGACGACACGTGACGACACGTCTTAGGTCAATTACACCATAGTGATAAGGGCCGTGAATCATTAAATCGTTTTACTCGTAGACACACCCCGTGAATCATCATACACATACACACACACACACATACATATATATATATAATATCGTATGATTAAAAAATTTTTACGATAATTTTTATTAATCAGTAGTAATTATTTTATATCTATTCACATTAATTACTCATCAACTGTCCGATTTTTCTTCAATCATGAATCATCATATATATATATATATATGTATATATATATCGTCGTATGATAAAAATAGAAAATGATTTACGAATTAATTCATAATAATATGATATCGTTCCTTTTTTGAATGACCACAACTGTCTCGTTGAGAATGATAATGAGAAAGAGATTAAAAAATTTTAAGTTTAAAAAGTTAACCACGATGAGTTTCAATAGCCATTAGTAATTATACAATATCTATGCACTACGTAAGTACTTATATGTGTATCTAATGTTCGACTATTTTTTGTTTTAACCGACGACGACCTTCGTTAGTCGCAGGTTGCCTGTTTTCAACTCTTTTTGTTTTTCTTTCCTCCTCTTTTTTTCTTTTTATTTTTATTTTTTTTTCTTTTTGCTTTTTTTTTGCTTTTTCTTTTACATTTTCCTTCCCACTCTTCTCACGTTCACCAAACTATTCCCATCCTCGACGTTCCTCTTTTCAATCGCCATTAGCGCGCACTCGCTACTTAGTTCCTTTCGCTCATTTTAAACATTTCGTTTATTATAATAACGCGAGAAAAGTTAACGCGTCGCAATAACACCGTCTCGCGTATTCAGAGACCCGAATTTTATTACCATAATTCGCATTAAACTCGCAAGCCGAGGATCTCGCACGTTTGAAAATCCGGTTTTGGTGTATTTAGTGAAAAAAAAAAACAAAAAGAAAAAAAACAAAAAAAACAAGAAAAAAAAAAGAAAAGAAAATAATTGATTAAACCGAAAGAAAAAATTGTTCCTTTAGTTGGCGTCATAATGCGAAGGAAGATATTTAATAAGACCCTGGTTCCTTTATTAAATATTAATGAAAAAAAAAGACAAAAAAAAAAAAAAAGAGTTGCTCGATGAAAATTAAAAATAACGACACGAAGGAAAAAATAAGAAAGAAAGAAAGAAAAGAAAGAAAGTGGCTCGATAAACGTGTTAAAGATTTGCATTTAGAGTTAATTACAAACTTTTCTTTTTATCTATCTATCTATCTATCTATCTTTCTTTCTTTCATTTTCCCCTTTTTTTCTCCCTTTTTTATTCATCTTTCCTCTTCATCCATTAATCCTTCATTCTTCTATAACATCAACAATCCGAGGTATTCTGAATAAAAAAATATCCCGCGGTAATGGTCAGTAAGCTTTTGGTGGAAAGTTAGGAAAAAAATAAAAAAGAAAAAAAATAAAGAGAGAGAGACAGAGACAGAGAGAGAGAGAGAGAGAGAGAGAGAGAGAGAGAGAGAGATAGGATGGAAGGAAGGAAGGAAGAGAAAAAAGAAGAGAAAGAAAGAAAGGAAGAAAAAAATAGACAGAAAATAGAAAAGCTCGTTAAGCGTCGAGTAGTGTAGTAGCTTGGCTATCTATGAGATAGATATATAGATATACGCGTGCTTAACGAGGA